GAGGGGGGGGAGAGAGAGGGAGGGAGGGAGGGAGAGAGAGAGGAAATAAGACAAATATGCACAGAGAAAGGAAAAAAAGCAAACATCGACATAAAAACAGAGATGTAAAAAGTGATTTCTCTTCAAAGGTCCCGAAATCAAATAATTTAAAAGTAAGTACGACATGAAACCACAATTTATAGACCACAAATGGCGTTGTTGTGGATTCCATGTCTGATGAAAAGTAAAGTTGTTCCCGCATCCGATCCGAACATTGGGGATCGCCTTGTTAGTGAGACAACTTCCTTCGGGATATATGGTTGGGTGGCCAGTTCCTTTCCACGCCACCTTTACTTCCCCAACTCAGGTACTCATTACTGCTGGGTGGGCTGGAGGGGGGCAAAAATCCTTGTCCGAAACGAGGCTCGAACCCGTACTTTCCGCTTCGGAGACGAGCGCACTAACAGCTCCGCAACCACAAACATGTGATATATAAAGATTTAATATCTCACTCTTGATAACTTACTTGGTGAACAATGTTTTTCGACTTGCCTTTTGTGTTGATTGCCAAGTTTAGCATAAAAGTCACCCCTTTTTTATGATTTCTGAAATCAGTGAAGAACGAGTGCTCGGTTTTATTAAACGAGGGAAAAGTAAAAACAACAAAATAACAAAAAACAAAGACAAACACAGAGGACGGACAACGCCAAGAAAGAAAGAAAAAAAAGGGCACTATCACACTATCAAGATTTTTTTAAATTGTCTATGGCCGAGGACCAATTCACACCTGGGTGAAGTGAGTAAAATTCGGGTAAAATTCATTTCCTAAGGCCACAACATCGGGCTGAGCTGCGGCTTGAACCCCGAAACATGCAACCTCACAATCACAATTCCGGTACCTAACCACTGGAATACCGACGCCATTTTCTGAATACATTTTTAAAATCCAATCCCATTTTTTAAAACCTAGATAATAATATTATCACATCCTTCTTACCATGTGTCAAATCCGTCTCCCCGCCAACCACCCCCCCGCCCCTCCTCCTTTCTCCCTACCCACTCCCAATTGACTCCTCTTCCTGTTCCTCAAGAGTTGCCCAATTGGACGACAAACCAACTAGTAATTTGCCTAACGACCCTGTCACTATGCAAATGTATGTGCCTAGTGTCGTGTGAACCCCGGCCCCCAATTGAACGATGGCGGGTGAGCAGAGGGCACGGCACTCACCGCCTACTAGAACTTAACGGTGATAATTGATTGGAGAGAGACTGGCCAGGACTGTCATTATCTTTCAGGTTCGAGTGATGGGAAAATCTTATTAGCTCAATCTCGAGACCAGAACGTGAGAAATATAGACCATTTCATTCGGCACTGGAGGCTACTTGGGACTAGTTATGTTCCGGCATGTGTGGTCAACTCACTGGGTATCAGCTCAAACTATAACGTTAACTCAGAAAAACCCTGTTATTGAGCCTCACGTTAGCCCTAGACATTCTAGTCTTATCTTAGGAAGATATTTCCTGCGGTCA